CATGTACTAGGTATAAGCAAATTGATATTGGATTAGCATTTGTTGGATATGTGTAAAATTATGTGTGTTGACATAACTGTCTTTACATGCTTGAAAGAATAAATCAAATCAAAACAAAGCATTACCCCGAACTGTAAAGTATCCTCCCATACCCGTTTTAGAAGTGATAATATCTTATTCATATTTACTAAGTGTGGCTGTGTCATAACTAATGAGCCATTTTAATTTATTATATAAAGTGGCTTGTACGACCTCTAAAACTATTTGTAAGTAGTTTATTATTTTTGTTTCTTGGTTCATTGGCTTTTTTAAACATTTTTATGAGGTACAGGGCAAAAACTAACCGCACTTTAACCCAACCAGCAGGCAACTCCTTGTGCGTGCGCGCAGGGGCATATGCCCAGCCCCCAAACAACACACACACACACACACACACCCCTGGCGTGCATCGTGAATACTGTGGCTGGTTTTAAAGCCTGCTGCACATCGACAGGCTGCATGGGAACCGAAACACTTGGTGCGCTCGCGCAGGTTGACCCGCTCAGAATGGCAGCACGTTCATCAATGAGACTGCGTGGAGCGCGCGGTCACGGCACGTTAAAAACCTGCACGGTTCGAATTATCATGTGGTTTTTAGCAAAGGGACGCACACACACACGCTTTTCGAGCATGTCATTGCAAGACACGCACAGACACAGTGATAAGATCAAGTTTTAATAAACAGGTCCGATTTGAAAGTAACGCCAATAAGTAAATAAACATATAAGAGCCTAGTGATGCAAACTGTCCTTAGTGAGAAGGGTTTTCGTTCCTTTTTACAAAATCCAGCGCAAGGACACCCCACTCATGGAAATACTATGTATTCAGTACCTGAAAGAATAAAATAATAAACAAATGAAATGCCGTTATGTTGCAGAACAACGGGTGAACTAAGACCACAAAAATAACAGATAACACACTTTACATCGACGTTCTGAGAACACGTTTAAAGGAATTATGCGCTACTTATATAGACAACATCCGAACCTATGGCCAACACCCGGAATGTTTGTCAGCTTTAATTTGAAAGAGCTACTTTTCAGCTTAATGCCCTACAATCATATGACATAACGCCCAGGTTGTAAGCCAAGCACCTGCCCATGTACACAGGCCTGGAGCAGCAGGGACCAGATGCACTGAAGTAGGCGACTCCGTCATAGAAGGGAAATGAAAACATAGTGACACATTAAGACATGTTCCGTCTGTCATAAGGATCCTACGCAGTCTATATGTTTTTGTCAATTTCACAAAAATAAAATAAAAAAATCTTCAGTGGGCAATTGAATCGGCTGCATTTGTTTAAATAATAACTACTAAAAAGGAAATACGCGACATTTTTAGTTTACTTTTACTAGAATACGAAGCATTAGGTGGGTTTTGTCCCTAAGGTGGGTGGAAAACGCAGAATTCATTTTCACAGGATGGGTCCAAATAACTACTGAATGGAGACTAAATAACTTCCCGCACTGCCTCAGTCAGAAGGTGTGTGTGTGTGTGTGTGTGTGTGTGTGTGTGTGTGTGTCTGCTTCGAGCCCAGTGTACGGCCCAGTGCATTCAGGGACAGTAATGGCCTCTTGTAGGTTAATGATTTGCAACCTGTAAAAAGACTGAGCTCTGCTGATGGAAGGTGATTTTTCTTATGGTGGCCTATTGTAAAGTGCAGATCTGCAGCAGGTCAGGGTTTGCCTTTGTATTCAGCACCTGTGTGTGTGCGTGTGTGTGTGTGTGTGTGTGTTCAGCTACGGCTTCATTATGTAGACAGCACCACAAGCCTCATTTACAACACGACATGTTGCATTGACTGGCTGTAGGGACGCAACGCAAGTGGCTTTCTTCCCACGGCCACGGCCCGTGTTGCATCTTTCTATCACACCACCAATATCCACACACACGCGGCGCGTGCACGCAGCCTGCCTCTGCAAAAGGCCCATTTTTTTCTGCAGAACAAAGTGAACCCATTGACTGAATTAACTGAATAGATGCTTACTTACAGAGCCCAGACCGGTGGGCAGTCTCTTTTCGATATACCGGGGGAGCGTTAATTTGTCGCGTGAGGTGTCAGCGAGGCGCGCGCCCCGGGGGCCACCACTGTGCCTTTATTTGTCAACCAGTTATCCTAATAAAAACCTCACTGGCTGGGACAAGTGGTGCGTCGACCGCTCTACTGGTGCATGTATTAATGGCGGCAGCGCTGCCCACTTACTGCTAAACAAATGACACCACTGAGGCAGGCCAACTGGTTTTATACTGGGAAAGCGGACTTTTCTAGACATTCTCCAGTGGTTTTCATGGGATTATATATTATATACAATATAACGTGTCTCTCTTAACATCACTGTAGGTAGGCTGTATGCCACGGGCAGATAAGGGTTTTTACAACGGACGGCTGATTGAACTGGAAATGAATGAATGAAAGAAATGTATTGCAGCAATATTGGTGGCTCCATAAATAGTCCGTTTCCACTTGGGTGGATAAAGTATTAACTGATAATAGTCGATGTTCAACAAAGTGTCATTAAATCTTTGTAAGCATATGACTGTGCTTTCTGTAGGATATGTGCCTTTTCTACCCTTTGTCCTTTGTTTTGTGCTTCTGTTAATGTTGTATGCATAGCCACCCTTCCCTGGTTTTACTGTGAGCCCCTGGCATCCAAGGTGGTGAAATCTATTTAACATTCAGAAACAAATAGAATTACATATTAAAGCTACGGGCTCCATATAGAGCATAAACATGAGCATAAGAAGAAGAAGAAGAAGAAGAAGAAGACTGTGCCTCATCCCAGTGACACTGTAGTGACCTGTAAACCAGTGTGTATGTACATATGAGGCCACACCGAGGGAGTCTGCTGACGTCAAGGTTTTCGCTCATTTGTTAGCGACATCTGTTGCTTTAAATAGCAGCTATATTCTCACTAACCTGTCTGTTACACGCATTTTAAATGTGAACCTGCGGGTTTGCAGGCTAATATAAGAATAGGCCGAGATCTAAAACAGTTTCATTTGAGATGCTGCCTGCGACTCAAATACTAGTCCTAGTCTGTTATGACTATTTTTAACGTTATCGTGTTCAAATAATAATTATTCATCAAACCTGTTGCTGCATAGTGGCCTGAGCATTTCACTGAACTAGTCCTCGGAAGCCACATAAGAGAAACTGTCATGCGGAAGGACTAAGGACAAAACGGAATTGAGCCTGGTCCGCCTGGTCCCCTCTGCCCTATAACTCACATCAACCTGGCAGAGGAAACATCCAGGCCGAGCTCATCTGTAGAGCAGCTGTGGTGTCCTTGCAGAGTTGAGACGTTAGTTTCAGCGGAGTGCGTCCAGGGGGCGTGGCCTCGGGGGGATTTTCGTGAGGTGCGCCTCGCGGACCGAGCTGTGACTGGCTGGCCCTCCTGGCAAAGGCACGCGACTGTGGATGTCGCTATAAAGGAGCCTCGCGTGCCGGTTGTTCAAATAAAAGTAAGTGTTGACCGTGAGCAGCTAGCACAGAGCAACCGGCTGATAAAAGAAAGAAAGAAAGAAAGAGAAAAAGAAGGAAGGAAGGAAGGAAGGGGTCATTGTCACTGCAGCAACAGGAGCAAGATGGACAGTGTGCTGGACCCTTTTCCTGGACTCGACTCTTTCTCCTCCTCTCCTTGTTTTGACGATGACGAGTTCTTCGCCGACCACTCCTCGACAGACAGACACTTGGACATGGAAGACTTTTTGGACGACGAAGTGGATTTCCTAACCAGTCACTTCCAGGACTATTACAGCAAAGACGGCGGCGACAGAGCAGCGCCTCGCAATGGAGACTATGACATCGGCAACTTGTCTTTCTCATCCTCATCCTCCACCTTCTCCTACAGCTGCGCCGACAGAACCCCGGAGCTGTCCCCTCAAATGGACGGTCACGGCGGACCGTTACTGAAACGCAGGAGGCGGCTGAGGTCTGAGATGGAGATGCAGCAGCTGAGGCAGGCGGCCAACGTGCGGGAGCGGCGGAGGATGCAGTCAATCAATGACGCATTCGAAGGGCTGCGCTCCCACATCCCGACACTACCCTACGAAAAGCTGGACACGCTGCGGCTCGCCATCGGCTACATCAACTTCCTGGCCGAGCTCGTACAGTCTGATCTGCCTATTAGGAGCACCAGCAGCGACACGCACGCACAACCCAAGAAGGTTATTATCTGTCACAGAGGAACAAGTAGGTCCATCCAGAGATCACACCGCTAAACGACATTGTAGTTTAGAACCTGTGTTAGTGTTGATCAGGCTTGATGATTAAAGGTACAGACTGATGTCGGCTCCACTTTGTGACCTTTAAATTCCCCCTGGCTGCTTTTCTGTTTCATATCCAGAGTTTTTACTCATATAAACAATATGAATTGTCTTTTATTCGAGCATGTGTAACCCTAATCCACAAGACACAAGATGACAGTAATGTTGGTGAAGATGATGAAAACTCTAAACAATAATAATAATATAAAAAAAGATATTCATGTTGTTGGCCTCTCCTCTCCCCAGGGTCTCCCTCCCCCAGCGACCCAGACTACGGCCTGCCTCCTCTGGCGGGTCACTCTCTGTCCTGGTCGGATGAAAGACAACTTCGGGAGCACAACATCATTCGCACCGCCAAGGTCTGGACACCCGAAGACCCCCGAAAACTGTACAACAAACCGGGCCTCACTGACATTGAAAACGAGCCTCCTTTTGGCCTTGTGGCCTAAAAACAACCCAGTCTCTCTCTGACCTGTTCTGTAAAACACATATTGTAAATGTGAAAGCTTGGATATGGATATGTGTGCACACCATGTGAGATATGTGTGCACACCATGTGAGCTTACTGTGCATATTCTATGTTGTACATAGTTTCATCACGTTCATAATTTTATTTGTTGTAATTCAGGCAATCGGCAATCATGTATTTATTTTCTCACAAGTGATAATATATATGTTTTAATTTAATAAATGAGAGAAACATATTTTTATATTGTTGTACAATGATTTGTATTTATATTGAGGATGCAAATTAAAAGCACCTACTGATGAAATGGTTTCTTTTTTTATTAAATGAATGGGCTGTATTTTATGGTCGTTATCTGTCACATATGGAATAAGATGTTTTGTTAGCAGTAGGTTGTTCCTGTCCTCAACACGTTTAAACAAATATTGAGGCTGAAGGTTCATTATTGATTTTGGAAATAGTAGAGTGACAGAAATTCCAATAAGGTCCAGTCAATGGAAATGTCAAGTGGGAGATTGAATTAATAAAGAGAAACGTGCACGTGTCGCTGAGGTGCATGAGGTGTGACAGAGAGTTCAATGTTTCTGTAAAACATGTAAAACATTCCATTCTGACTCTAAACATAATATGACCTTACATCCATGTCGTTTCCACGTGTTTTGACAAAACCTGCCCCATCTACAGTTTTATCATCAGATCTGATCAAACCATTGGTTTGTGTCTGTGTAAACGTTGGACCATCGAATCATTCATGCCCATAAAACACATCTAAAGGTCAGTGGAGCATATTGTGCCTCCTTGTTGGCATATAGTGTTATTTTAGTGCGTGTCCGGTGAGGATGGTGGCCTGGTGGCCGTCTGACTGAGTGGCGACTGGAAAAGAAAGTTTCCAGTGAATTCACACTAATAAAGCCATGTATTGTCATAAATATGCAAATGATATGCTAATAAAACTATGGTGTATAGGCCTACCCACAGCAGCTGAAGGTGTTTAACGCGCACGCAGGCCTGCAGCAGTCTGGTGGGGAGCTGCTGAATGGTGCTCTGTGCCGCCAGGTGCTGCCGGGACAGATTTTCCCGTGGTAGCGGCATCTCTCCGACATGTGTCCCCACGGCCTCCTCTGGGCCGCCCCCACCACCGACACACTGCCGCATATATGAACAATGTGGGACCAAAGGCTGCAAACACAAGGCTGGGGAGACGTGACAAGCAGGACTCAAGGTCTTCACATTCTGGAAGTTTGGACTCTGAAAACGTCCCGTGCAACAGGTGGGTTCGCTCGTTTTTGTATCTATCATAGATTATTCTTATGTTTGACGTGTTTACAGTCAGTATTACAGAATTAACTTTTCTTAGAATGCCACATTATTCGGATCTTTAATGTCACAAATGTGCAAGTCCCCCTCCCCGCCTCCTCCCTCCCCCTTCTCTCCCTCTCTCCCTCTCCCTCTCTCCCTCCAGGTCCTCTGTAAGTCCGTCCGCTTCTCATTACTAGCGCGACAGGAGCATGTAATCCTGTTACAGCCATTAGAAAGTCAAATGTTACTGAGTCAGTGTTAGGCATCTTCATCTCTTTGGCAGCAGGGCCACTTTGGTTACACTTGGACTTTGTGGCAGCAGCCCCGGGAGTTAAAACACTAGTAGCATTGTGGTTCCTCGCACCTTAAGGCCCGCTGATGGGTTTTAGTGTGCGGAGCGCAGCCTGCCTCTCAACATCCTTTGGTGCGGTCGCAGCCAAGCGGAAGGGACAGGCTGAAATACTCCCGGCTATCTTGTCACTCCGGCTACGGGCTTGGCAAGGCTTAAAAGGACATGGCTATTTCACTGTCTGACAGGTTTTATTTCCTTTAGTTCTCAGCGGGCCTGGACATTATGGAGCACGCCAAGCGGAAACTTGTTAGAGAAAGGCTCTGCGCTGAGCACAGACACCGGTCACACCTAGAGAATGTCAGTGTGGCCGCATGAGGCTGGGCTGAATCCTGACGATAAGATATGTGTGAGAATAAACTCTGAAGACCGAGGGAAATAAAATGACCAGTCACATTTCAAAGTGAAAAAAAAAACTGTTTAGAGATTAAACTCGGAAATTCAGTCACAGTTTTAAGGAAAACCACTAATAACCTCCCAAACTAAGGTGGAACTTAGAGATGTGTTAAACCAAACATTTTCGTGTGTAAACTTAAGTAAACGCCTGTAACTTGTTCAGAATGTTTATTCTTTGCCATGTATACTTTTCGGAAAGCCTATATTTCAGCACATTTCTCTGATGGCTGCTCTTAGTCATTTCTAAGCTCCTGATGCCAAAGTTAAATAGAAAAGCGAACATTATATTTGTAATAATCCATTTACCGATCAGTAATTTATCAATTCGTTAAACTGTATTTCTTTACTCCGTCTACTCTAGAACAATTTATTCCCAATAACAGTTATAGATCAACTTACGTGCGGGTACAGTTGTGAACATAAGTCCTCTTTCTATTAACTACGTCTTTTAATCCTGACACTTTTTCTTTGAGCAAACTTTGATGCTTGCACATAAAGTATTTTCATTTAGACACATATACACAATGACAGAAAATAAATTACACTTTGCTGAAAATGAATCTACGTGAGTTTAAATGGGACTTAAATATGTCATAAATGAAGGCTTAACTCCAGTTGCTTTAACTTTTACATACATTTCTTATTAATTATAAGAAGAAATATTAACGTGTTTCAAGCATTCTAATATGTATTTTCCCTGGAGTTTCCGGATAAACATGTAGCTACTATAATAAAGTACGCAGGCCACTTTATGTGACATACAAAGATATATGTCCCCTCCTACCCTAATTCCCAAAGTTTCCTTCAGGCTCCTCACTAAAGACAACTGGGGCTAATAATGGGGCCAACACCAGGGAGTCAGTCTGAGCCATTTTTCTTGTTACACGTTGAGGTATCTGTTGCTTTTTGACCGTTCACGAGCACTGACTCGCACTGCTGAAGGCTATTTGACATCTTAATAGAGAGGAGATACAGCCATCGGCCCTTTTACGCATCAGTGGCTATGAATGTGTGTATTGGTTTGTATCCATGGCTAAAAAAAGGAATTAACAAGTAATAAATCCATCAGGTCTAATACTTCTGTGGAGATTAAAAACATCAGCGAATGTGTGAAGCTTTAAATAAACAGCTTTGACTGATACGTTACGGAGAAGAAAGTAAGAGGTCTGCTGTTAAATCCGTTTTAAGATCCTAAGTTAACGCACTGGGAGAGACGCTCAACAAGAGCCACAAATCGGCTTGATTTACAGATTATCTGGACTCATTAATCCCCGATTCTTTCTGTCCAGCATGACATTAATGTGCCAGCTCCGAGGATGACCTGATTAGACTCTCCGCCGATGCCATGCGAGAGGCCGGACACGGGGGCTGATCTTTGGTGAGTCGCTGGTAACCAACAGGTGCCCTCTGTGTTCGCACTGACAGAAGAAGGAGGAGATGTGTCGCAGGGACGGGAGGTAGCTGGGATCATTCTTCTTTCAGACATGATCTTCCAATCTAAATCACATCTTTATGAGCGCTTCCTTGTCTCGCTGGAACAGATCGCCCTACGCCGTGCTCTCCGGGATGCACCTGGTAGTTCAAACTTCGTCTCTTTTCATTTCCTTGCGCCTGAGTCCCTGGACTGCAGCTGCCCAAAAGCAAGCAAAAAGAGAGGCCCTTGCAGTGTCTTCGAGACGGGTTGGCACCGTTTTCCACGTCTTTAATGTTCCATCAGCCTTTGTCCACGACACAATATGGCAACTGTAAAGCATGACGTTTTGCAATAATAAAACACATTTTCAATGACGTGACACCGGGCTGAAAGCGCAGCGCGGGCCAGCCAGATTAAACATGTCCCTGCGTTTGTTTTGTGCGCCCACAGTCAATTAACATCGACATCTTTTCGCCGCGCCTTGATAAGCCAATTAAATTTATGTCTCTTTTTCAGGGATAGAAAGGAGGTGGGTTTGGTGTGGTCTCCTCCTAGGATCGGCGATTTTCTTGCCATCACCTGGCGCTTTCTCCACAAGTGTGCAAACGGTCCTGGGTGCCCCCTACACCATACGGCTCTCACCATCCTGCGCTATTGTCTCCCGCGTTGATTACTCATTACAGGGATTTAACAAATCCTCTATTAGCTATGTTTTGTGTCATATTTTCATCCGCAAGATTAAGCAGATGCTGCGATTGTAAAATCCAGACTCTAGGGCTACTCAAGACTGAAAGAGAGACAGGCACTAGGTTGAGAGCGAGGGAGAGGAAAAAAGCTTTGGGCACATCTTCAGAGGAATTAAACATTTAGTAGCCATAAACAGACTTCAACCTGCTCTATTTCAGCCTTTGTGTTGTTTGTGAATAATTAATGATAATAGGGACAGGTTTGTATACTTTGAATGCGGGACCACAGGTGCGGAGTGACAGGATGAATAACCGGGCCTGATTTTTGCCAAAGCTCGAGGGCTCTTGTCCAGGGTCTTCAAGCTGATGGAAAATATTGTCATCTCTTTGATTCGCAGCATTACTTTCACCGAGAACAAAGCCGGGTGATGAAAAGCTTATGTTGGAGTGAAACAGGCGATGACGGCGCCGTTTCAGACTCCTGAAAGAAAGAAAAAGGGGCGAGTCAATGGCAATGCGCGCAAGTGCTCCATCTAACTCAAATAAAGGGGCCTTTCCAACTTTTAAAGGACCACTTTTTGCCTTTAATAAAGGCTGGACGGCTGTAGCCATTAAGCATATGGTGCTAAGGCGCTGGTCTTTTGTCCCCGAGAAGCCCTTGAGATACTAACTTGTGTTCTTTCCGGGATATTTAACTTCTCAAAAGCTCCAACTTTATGCGCCGGCAACAAGTGGCTCCGGGGCGCACGAGCAGCGTCCCCCATTAAGAAAATCAGGGTGGCCAAGACAGAAGAATTAGTGGGTAAAGAAGCAGAAGACCATTTTATTTCTTAATGGCACGAACATTTTAGGGACATTAATAAATGATAATGAAGAGAGATGCGTTACAATGGGTTTGTTCCAAACGAGGGTTCTTTGGCATAACTATCAATTGCAAGGCCAGACTGGGACTGAAATGAGCTCCAATTAAAACTCTCACAGAATGCTAGAATAATTTAAGTTGGGGGACTCACAAATAG